GAGGGGCAAAGTTTGTATGATGATCATTGGAATTTATACCCGAGTCATGTCTGTTTAGTTTGTGTTTTATTTTAGCAAACACATAGAAAAATATGTTTGCGTTGCAAATCTATTGTTTCACCTTCGTATCCTATATAACAGGGGTGGCCAACTTGATTAGACCCAAGATCTACTGCTTACTGTCGAAACCATGCGCGATCTACCAATCACATACTTCTTGAAATCTTAAATGAAACATCACATTTTAGTATACAATTACATTGTATTTTGATATTTAATGAAGAGGGCAAACATAATACTGAATCATGAGCCTTAGTAACTACTTGTTTATATTACTGTGTTTAAGAATTTTCCACTAGATTAGCAAAATCAGGTTTGTTGTTGGAAATTGCAAACCTCAAAGAATCTAACGAATTAGGATCTGTCAAGCGAGAACAGTGTTTATTTTTTGTTTGGAAGTAGGAAAATGCTAACTTACATTCATATGTTGAATCAAAGTACGAATGCAGTTGTTCAACATATCTCTTGTAATTTAGATATTTCTCGTTGGAGACAATGCCCAGAAATCTGGGCCTGAGGATGACCTTGGTTATAGAGAGATCTCCAGTATCAGCGTAAAGTAATTATTATTGTGGTCCATTTGAAACGTATATCTGCAAATTTTGTAGCCCTTGCATAAATATCACTATAGAAGAGATGAAGAAGATGACGTGCGCAGCAGTTGGTGATGCGCAGTTTGTGCTACGTATTTATATTTTTTGCCTTGCCACGATCGACTGAACTAATAGTCACGATCGACTGATTGGCCACCCCTGCTATATAACAAGCATTACAGTACTTACATTGGGGCTATAGCTTAGATATTCATATAATCAATTTCTAGCGTCTGGACGTGTGTTGCCCGCGGGATCTGGCGTTGTGGTGAGCATTTGGGGAGCACACCGGGACCCCAAGCACTGGGGGCCGGGCGCCGAGAAGTTCGACCCTGACCGATTCCTGCCAGAGAGGTTCCTGCCGCAACATGTGTGCAGCTATATGCCATTCAGCCAGGGCCCCAGAAACTGTCTAGGCAAGTCAAATATTTCGTACCTCAACATCATCAGCCTATTAATGTCCACACTGCTGCGGCACAGGCCTTCTCTACTTAGATAGATTGGGTCGAGATCCACTACATGGGCTAAGTGAGGACTGATTAGTGTTTACTCCTGCAGATGCAGCCGGGACCATTTCTATCCTAGCTCAAACTATATATTTTTTAAATGAACTTTCATTATTTCGTTTGAGAAAGTCACGATTTTATCTAGCTTTTTGCCGAGTTTAACAGTACTAGCATTAATATAAAATATCTTGGTCCAAATTTGATTTATTTCACTATTACGGCAAATAGAATGAAATCAACATCGAATTTGAATTTTAAAACAATAATTGTAGTTCCGAAATTACCGCAAGAATTTACTATGTTATTGTTCAAATCTCAAAAAGTCTGTGAGCTATTTAAGTAAATAAAACACCGAAAAATAAACTAACTTTGTATATGTTGTTATGATAAATTGGTGATATTTTGAAGCATTTTCAGTTTTAAATTGTTTTTGTTTTCACTTACATTTCCATTGTTTATGGACTCGGTACATGGCGGGCGGAATTTTAGATTTGTAATAATATTATTTAATTATCAAAGTCATCGATAGATGGCGTTACTGTTGTGTTTAATATTTTTCTATGCCAGTTTTAAATCACGGTATTCAGTTTGTTTTTTGAATATGCTTAAGTTCAATATTATTTTAAAATAGACAACCTTTGTGTTTTATTTACTTAAATAGCTCACAGACTTTTTGAGATTTTGAACATGGTCCTTCGAGCCGGACACCCTTATCTGTCTATACATTTTTACGATGTCAGCTACCAACCCGATAGGATAACAGCGCCACCTCATGATCAAATGTCGTAATGTTGGTTGAAGTGTCGGACCAACCATTAAATCACTATTAAGTGATGCTCCATTAGAGTCGCAACAAGAAGCATCAACCACCATGCGTATTTTTATGGTAGCCTTATCCTTGCGTATAATGGCATGATGAGGTAGATATACCGCTGTGTCCCTGTATAAACTCAGTTTCCAACTTCCATGTGACCTGACCTGAGATATTCATCTAGAACTTTTGAATACTCTATCTTAAGTTCAGGATTTCGCAGAAACCGCTTCTCTAGCAAAAAATATCTTTTAAGTGCAACATCATTTAAAACTGCTAATGGTATTAAACAATTATTATTGGACGATACCAAAGATTGTTTATCGGCCTTAAAAAATATAGGTGTTTATGTCAGTAGCTGGGACATTATTGTTATTTACCTTGTTAGACAAAGGCTAGATCCTGAATCACGTAAACAATGGGAGCTAAAAGTTAGTGACTCTATTCAAGATTTACCTAGTTTCAGAGCTTTAGAATTTATAAATAACAAAGTTCAAAAGCCAGAAAAATCTTATTGTACTCACGTTGCCACAACACTAGTAACCTGTAATTTTTGTACTGAAAATCACAGATTAAATAATTGTAAAAAATTTGCTAAAGAAAATATTGACGCACGACGTAGCTTTGCCCAACCAAATCATTTGTGTTTCAACTCATCAACTGTCTTGGTCTTAACCATTCTCAAGGTCATCATCAACAAGGTGCCGCTTATGTAAGAAAAAGCACCATACGTAGCTTCATCTCAGAAGTCCTAAATCAGTCACTGAAATAAGGACTGATCAGTCTGTGCATAGTGATGTCGGAGAAAGCTCCGGTTCATCACAATCGCAGACTTGTGGCGAGTTTCAAATTCCTCCAGTAGTAGCTTCTTGTTTTACAAGCTCATTGGGGCAGGTTCTATTGGCTACTGCCTTAGTCAAGGAAGAGTCTCACAAATCAAACTATACTTTTGTTTTAAGATCACTGCTAGACCAAGGGTCTCAAGCTTCATTCATCACTGAAGCAGCAGTCCAAATGATAGGGCTCAAGAAAATACCAGGCACTAGTTTGGTATCAGGTTTAGGCGGTGACCAAGCGACTTTGTCTTCAAAGTCGTCAGTATGGTTGAGAATTCAGTCCCGTTTAGACCCCAGCTTTACAGTTACTGTTAAAGCACATGTCTTGAGCAAACTTACGACCTTTCTACCAAGTAGTACTCACAATTTCTTCACAACTCACGTCAAACCTCGGATGCTTCAGGGGGTGCTCCCCTCCCTCCAATTGATGCAGTAACTGCTTTATCCGCTGATAGTACTCTCGGTAACGATCCGTTACCCTATCAATACTGCTATGGCCTTGTACACATCAACTTCGTGCCTTGATTAATCCGGCTCGAAGGACCACGTTCAAATCTCAAAAAGTCTGTGAGCTATTTAAGTAAATAATACACTAGCGATGGGCGTTGAATTAACGAACGGTTTAAATAGACGGTCTACGTTCAATCGACGCTTCGATGGTCTACAGTTAATTCGTTAACTAGTTGAATTCATAGACGGCTAAACTGAGAGTCCACAGCGTTCATATCTACTGACAAAGCGTCGACGACGCGTAAACGTATACGGTTTACCCGTTACAAGTCCATACGTTCGTTCATTCGTTGAAATAAAGCAATTTGAAACTTAAGTATATGGCGTGGGAGCTGATATTTGTTCATTTTTTAAACTAGAGTTGTTAGAGTGAAAAGGTAAGAGTATTTTTATATTGCGTGAAAGAGTACGTCGATGGATCTGACTAAACGATGCAGTGCAGGATGAACGGATTTATAATAATGGTTTTCCAGTTTCCTCAAGTAGTTGCAGTTTTGTTTATTGAAATTAGTGTGTCGCGAGGCCAAGGTCAAGGGACACGTGAATGTGAATTTAGTGCAAAGTTCGTTTGAATTGAATGTTTATGTTATGAGATTAATTTGTAATTTATTTTGTAAACATTTGAATGACTATAATGGAAAGCGAATACTAAATAAAGACCTCGTCGTCGTTGCGTCGCGCCCGTAGACCAGTCACCGCGTAGTCGATATGAACCCTTTAAAGCCTGCCGTTATCATGTCAACTAGTCGAATAGACATGTGTAAGTAATGCGCGTGATATTACATTTATGATATCACGCGAAGTTGTAATGTCAAATCACGCATCACACAACAGAATGAAACATTACACCATCACTTCAAAACATCACGCAGTACACTGAATGAAACAAATAACGACATTATTCCTTTACTCAAAAGGCCTTTTTTAGTTTTCTTCGATCCATCCTACCTTATGTCAAACATCGCGCAACACGCTTAATAAAATTACGATCTTATGTTCTTACTGCTAAGGTTTTTTTTAGTTTGCTCTAGCGTAATGTAATGTTAACATTACGCAACGCTAGCGACGCACAGCGGCCTAGCCTGGAAACTTTCAATATGTTCGAATAACATAAATAACTTTTTTATGAAACACTACTCAAATTAATTGTATGTATAATTAATTACAAGACTATTATTTTTAGTATTTTTTTGTTAATATTGACTCATTAAATACCTACTAACAAAATAAATCTATGTTGAAAAAATGATTTGATTTGACTTTCCTTTTACCTAATTCTCTTAATATTTATTTCAATTGACATACGGTTTATTATTGGCCATTTGTAATGTGCGATTTAATGACAGGTGCTTTGATAAATTGAACTTTTTACTCAAGAGTATAAGATGGAATTTCTTAAGATTGATCATTTTCGGCGCCAACTTGTCTAGTCGAGAAACTTTTGATACCTATTTTACCTATTACAATCATCCGATGATAGTGAATTGTGTTTGGAAATTGGCGCGCTAATTGTATAAACTAAACCGATTTAAATATACTAGATTGAGGTTTTTTATATGAAACTGTGTTTTTCTATAATTAAATTGTTTAAATAAAAAGCTGTAAATAGATACGTGTTACATTTAAATATTAGTGTTGTATTAGATAGTAAATAGTGAGTAAGTAGGTATTTTTGTTTCTCTTCATGGCGACAAAAAGAAAATACAGTCCACTTTGGACTCACTTTGAAGAGGTTGCAGAAAAAAAGGCTAGATGCCTCTATTGCTCAAAAGCCATTGCTTTTTCTTCAAGTTCAATTGGCAGTCTGAGCCGGCACATGAAAGCACTACATCCCACTGTTAATATTAACGATAAGAGACAAGACCGTGTTGATAACGAAGAAACGGCTGTGCAGAATACAAATTCAAGATGTATTCCACCAGATAACACTGCGGGGAAATCAACTACCTCCATCCCGGCTATGACGTCCATTAGGAATACAACCAATATACAAAACTACATTATTGTAAAAAGACCAATTCCAATAAATAGAGTTCAGCAGCTAGATGAACAGTTAATTATAATGATCGCCAAAGGGTATCATGCATTTAGGTTGGTCGAAGAACCTGAATTTAAAAAATTTACGGAAATGCTAAACCCATCCTATAGCTTACCGACACGCAAGACTTTGTCGGATAGCATTTTACCCAAACTATACAACAAATTATTGGAAGCTTCCAAAATAAAAATTGCCGGAGCCACCGCTATCTGTATTACCACCGATGGATGGACCTCAACTGTCAACGATGGTTTCATCGCCATCACGGCCCATTATATCGAACAAGAAAATAGCACAATACACTCTGTAATGATCGGGTGTATAAATTTTGAAGAACGGCATACAAGTGCTAATTTAAAAGATTTTTTACACCAAAAGTTTGTGGAATGGGGAATCCAACACAAAATAGGTAAGCAAAAAAATATTTAGTTAGGTATTTTTATTTTATATCAAAGAGGAGCTCGATGGCGCCGGTGGTTAGCACGTTCAGCTGCGATCGTTGAAGTTAAGCAACTTTCGCATTGGTCGGTCATTGGAGGGGTGACCAAAAATATTCAATCTCGTTAGCACCCGCCAATCCGCACTGGGCCCGCGTGCTTGGTCATGGCCCAATCTCCCTATTCTATGCATAGGAAGACCTGCCCCAGCAGTGGGGACATTAATAGGCTGATGATAATGATGATGATTTTATATCACTGGTTTTCAAATTAATTTATTTGCGAAATAAGGATAGACAAAATAATATTCGTGAAAAATCACAAAAAGTGTGCCCTATTTAACCTTGTAAGATAAGGCATATATTCAATTATTTTTTCACAGTCACACGGTTTTCTTTACTTATTTTGTTACATCGTCATTTTGTCATCACGAGCCCTTTTTATGTCTCCAACTCCGCAGTGCAGGGTACGTTCTTATGGATGATTAAGAGAGAAAGAGTCGTCTTTTATCCTCCTTTACTATTACTACCTTTTTTATATTTTCCACAGGTGCAGTGGTGAGCGATAACGCTGCAAATATTGTGGGTGCTGTACAATTAGGCGGTTGGCGTTCAATAAGATGCTTTGCACATTGCTTAAATTTAGTTGTCCAACAAAGCTTGATATCAATATCGGCAACTGTAACTAAGGTTAAGCACGTAGTAGAATATTTTCACAGGAGTATACCAGGAGCTAAAAAATTATGTGAAATACAACAGCAGATGAATTTAACTCCTCTCAAATTGAAGCAGGATGTAGTGACACGTTGGAATTCCACGTTTGAAATGTTGCAACGTTTTTTGCAAATTAAAAGTGCTGTGATAGCTACGCTTGCTCTTATGAGAGATGATTTAGCTTTGTCTCAAGACGACTGGATCATTATTGAAAATGCTCTACCTATTTTAAAAATATTTAACGATGTGACGGTCGAAATTAGTGGCGAGAAATACGTGACAGCCTCGAAATACATCGTCTTTTGTAAATTAATCAATATCAAGTTAATTAAATTACCAGAAAGTGAAATAACCCCAATTAAAAATCTGATAGCTGATTTAAAAACTCACATGCTACAGCGTTTTCATGATATTGAAAGTAACGTGCTCTTATGTGAAGCGACTATTCTCGATCCTCGTTTCAAAAAGAACGGGTTTAGTGACCCCAGAAAATATGAAAGAGCAGCTTCACATTTGAAACAAAAAATCGGTGCTGCCGATGCGACACCAGCCAGTAGTGAACATGTTGATGAGGATAATTCTGATGTTCCTCCAGCGCCATCCGAAGCTGCTAATTCCATTTGGGCAGAGTTTGATGTAGAAGTTTCCAAACTAGTGCCTCAAAATTCACTTGCTGCAGGAATAGTCGAATTCGATAAATATATACAAGAACCATTAATTACAAGATTAGAAAATCCTTTGAGTTGGTGGAAGGAGCGTAAAGCAGTGTATCCTCGTCTTTATGCATATATGCTGAAAAGGCTTAATATTACAGCCACGTCAGTACCCTGCGAACGTGTTTTCTCAAAAGCAGGCTTAACACTCAATGAAAGGAGAACACGTCTAACGACAAAGAAATTGTCACAGTTAATGTTTATTAGTTGCAACATATAAAATATCTTTACTTAAATAAGAGAACACCCATCTTAGCCGGCGAACCCTCTCCGGGTTGTTCCGCAGGGCTCAATCCTTGGTCCTGTCCTATTTTAAATTTATATAAATGACTTACCTTACTATGTAAGAGATAACCATGGGATAGTATTGTTCGCGGATGATACATCACTTTTATTTAAACTCAAAAGCAAGGAAAAGTTATTGACGACGTGAACAATTGTATTTCTAAGGTAGTCCACTGGTTCAATGTTAACAATTTATTACTTAATGAAGGAAAAATGAAATGTATGATATTTGTATTACCTAATGTAAAATAGGTGAATTTAAAGGATAGGAATGTGAGCCTTATAGACACCACAGTATTCTTAGCGATAACTTTAGATTCTAAGCTTTAATGTGGTAAAGAAAAAAAAATTGGACGTTTCAAAAGAGTTGTACTATACATCCAATTTTAATAAAGATATATTGATTTCTGATTTCTGACTTGGAAAAGAAAAATAATGGTACTTGAATGAGATGACACTATAACTAACGTAAGAGCCACGGTTGATGATTTAGTGTTGGAACAAATGAATGTTATTGTATGTCTTTGATGTGCTTTTAGCAGGGATGGTACACCGCTGATTTAGAAAGGAGAGTAGGTTCGTCAAGTTAGAGAGACATAAATTGAAACTAAATACAGGCTCTATTTTGTTTTTGTTTGAGATCAAATAAAAAAATGTATCACCTTTTACGAAAATGACCATTATTATTTATTACCTACACGAATGCACGGTTTTTAGACATTTTTTAATAAAACTTTCACAATTGATAAAAAAATCATTTTTGTATGAAATAAGTAAATAACTAACCTTACACTTAAACAGAACATATTACAAACTAGCTAAACAGCAAGAACTGTTTCAGGTGATAGTAGTACTATTTTAACCATCACTCAAAACATTACCTGTGATTTTTATTACTAAGATGTCACTTCACTTACTATTAAAAATTACAGGTAATGTTTCGAGTGATGGTGATATTACCGAGTGATATTACTCAACGAGTAATGTAATGTGATATTACATCACGCCATAGAGCACTGTTTTGCGCATGTCTAACTAGAATTCAACTAGTTGATCGACTAGTCGATGGACGGTAGTGGACAGTTTCGTTTCGTCGACGAAAAATACGTCGACGACCCACCTCAATAAAACACCGAAATCTGTAGCAAAGGTTGTCTATTTCAAAATAATATTGAACTTAAGGATATTCAAAAAACAAACTAAATACCGTGATTCAGAACTTGCATAGAAAAATATTAAACACAGCAGTAACGCCATCTATCGATGACTTTGATAATTCAATAATATTTCTACAAACCTAACAGTTATAGTTGTTAATGAAAGGACAATGGCGAAATATTTGTTGAAGTAAATCTTTAGCGTCTATAGATGTCATTATCAGAAATTTTAATAAAATAATCTCAAAAGAATTATTAAACAATTGAGGAGGGTTGTCTAAGTCTGGATATAAAAACTTAAAAAAGGGAAACACAATTGACTATTTATTTTTTATTTTTATTGTGGCTTGGCATCATGGCTTTTGAGCCATTTATTTAAAGTGATTTTAGTGATGAAATCAACTTTAAATATGGTGTTCGGTGTTCGGTGGTTATGGTTTTGCATCGCATTACGCTTAAACTGTATTTAATTATCTATCAAAAATATCGGGAAACATTATTTTTCAATATTATACCGAAACCATAATAAATAATCTCCACAATACAAAAAAGTGTATGGCGCCAATTTTAACGCAAAAAACAATAACTGCCACTGTCATGCTTGTCATCGAATTGTTATTGTTATTGTTATCATTATCGTTGCTTGTGTATAAGTGCATGCGTATTGCAAAGACTTAAATCGGCGTATTGTGTTTTTTCTGAGATTTGTTTTTTTATGTGATTTGGACTGCATTTGGAGGACTTTCGAAATCTTTACCTGCGACTGTTGAGTAGTGCTTGACTAAGACTTCCAAATCTTATATTTTGGACGACTTTTTGCTGTGGATTTTGGACACGATTCTGTGCCGGTTTAATTAATATCCCATTAGTACACTATTAGAAATCCTTTTTTATACTTAAGTATTGATGTAGGTATTTTCAAATTGTTAAGTACTTCTTACAGCACAGACATTGTATTCGAACTCTGTAACCCTTGTCTGTTAAGTATTTTGACGCGGTTGTTGGTCAGTACCTACGCCCACTGATCATACATTTATAAATTCTTTTCCGTCACTACTCTACGGGACCGGTATACTTCTTTAGCCCCGTTCCACGTATTTTTTATTTTGATATAAAATTACCCTCGAAAATACTTTTATAATTCGATGACATAACCTCTAAAACTTCAAAGTTGAATATCTATAAATCCAGACTTTCTATAATAAAAGAAATAAGACGAATCAAATCGAGAATCCAAACTCTATAATTTAACATGCAATTCATTTATAGACGCAAAAAAAATTTTCAACAAAAATTTGTATGGGAGTTTGCCATTGTCCTTTGACATTTTCGATAAATGTTTATATTGTATATTTGTCTTATCTTTTTGATGTCCTTGTTTTATGAGATGTGTACGGCATGCCTTATATAACCGATTGAATATTCATAGTTTATTTTCTGTTTGCAGGTTATCAATACGCTTTGATGTCTATCAAAATAGCTGTCGCGGCCATAGTGAGGAATTACAAAGTAGTGCCAGACCTCCAGAATAGTGATAAGCCGTACATCAGGGTCAAGTTAGATGTAATGATGAAAGACGTGGATGGTTACAAAATAGCTTTAGAGAAGAGAAAGCCTAGTACGAATACCAATGTGACGATATCGTCGTAGTTGATAAGTTTATTTATGATTTACCTATAAAGTTGGAATTCGTATAGCTGATGTCACGTAAAACAATCTTTGGAGATGCAAATAAAATTTATAACAACTTTTGAGTACAATCCAAGTCGAGAATGTTGTAACATGGCGTTTTCCTACGTGCTTAATGAAACACTCTTCCGAGGTCCAAGAACGAATTTTCGACAACTCCGTAAACCCACATCATCAAAGTTTCTATGAAAACTAAGCAGCACCGTATCGGATTTAAGAACAGACTAGCTTTTCAATACAAAATTTGATGATGACGATACGTTACGTACCTGTCAATTCGTGCTTTGATTGAAGTTTTCACACCTTAGTTAACTATCTTAACGAATGTAAAGTGGAGCTACCACATAGTCCGTTTTTCACTCGATTCTATTTAAAAGAGTTAACTACTATATAAATACAGGTTTTATATAGCCTCACTGAGTGACCACGATCGTTGAGGCAAAAAAGTAGTAAAAATTTATTCAGAACCAACAATAATTAAACATCCTTGTTGAGGATGTCCGCTAACATACAATTTAAGAGTGTTTAATTAAATAACTATGAATGGTACCTTAAGAAATTCCTGTTATGTAGATTAATTAGGTATTAATTTAAGTTAGTAAACGGCAATGTTATGTGAAATCGGTGAACTAAAAAGCTCGTACAAGTCGTTACAGTCGACTTTTGATACTGAGTTTTTATGACTTCAATAGTATAAATAAATTTCACAAATTCTCTTGTGTTATATAAAAACCGAAACTTTATTTATTTGCCAAATGTGCCTTTTGTTGCCTGAACTGAATATTTTACGGTATAAGGATAGAATAAGAAATAAAACCGAAAATACTGCGTAGACCATCAAGAAAAACTTGAAAGACCATTTCATCGCCGCGTTGATATGATCGAACAATATTGTCAATCTCATAGAATACATTATGGTTGGTAGTTTTATAGATTTGTTCCTCATTATTAAACTAATTTAGAGTTAGCGTTATCTTTTAGTGAAAGGGGCCGAAATTATTTATGCCGTAAATGTGTGATATAAGAATTGTAAACTATTGGTAAAATGAGGGATTTTTTTTCGAAAAGGTCCTCCAGACAACTTAAAGTAATTTTAAAAAATGATTGACGATTTGATTTCATTTCTAAATAATGTCCTTGGGCTTTATTTTGTAATTTTCTTGCTTTCCACGATCCTTACGATACACTACGCGATCTTTTTAATTAGGTATTTGGGACGACGAAATTGTTTTAATAAAACTTTCACTTAAATAAGCTATTGTTTCCAATTCGCGATTGTTTTGAAAGTAATATAGTGATATTATTAGTATAGTTAGTTAAGAATCTGTTATTTATTATACCTTCTCACTGTGCTTTGATTTTTTTATTAAATATTTGTTGTGATTGGACCGGATTTTACTTTTTTAATTCAACTTTCTACAATACAAGCAATTGTAACTTAAACATCCACTAAAACAGATTAGCTCACTACAAACTGTCAATAATTCTTCAAAAGATTTAGAATTTCAACAAGGATCCTTTTGGCCCTAGGGTGAAATGAAAGAAGAATTGTAATAGGACCGGATAACTGACTACTTACCTACATCCGATATAATAAGTGTTGTTATTTTCTCAATTTATGATCCGCTAACTAAACGACCTAACTCCTAGATCAGGGATTAAAGGGGACATAGAGTGCCAAAGGATCAATCAATGGATCTTTGCAATGGATTTAAGTAGATCGGGGGATAGGCAAGTGTGGCATTTTTTTCCCCTACAAACGTTCCCGACCGTTGCAGAAGTTGCATAAGACTTTAATGCTAACCACAATTTTGTGGCTAAGTTCCTCGAAAACTGACTATGCAGGGATCTCTGCTCACGCATTCGCACCTTCATTACTGGACCTTCTGCTCACGACCCATCCATAGGGCTATCAGGTTGTGGTAGGAGCCCCTCTGGGCTCTTCTGATCACTGCCTGATATCTGCCAAAGCCTCACAGGCCAAGCCTCCGTGTCCAACAGTGGTAAAACAGCGGATCTGGCACTATGGGTCGGCAGATTGGGACGGTATGCGTGACTACTTTGCGTCCGTCCCTTGGAAGCAGCGCTGCTTCAGTGACACCTGAACTCAGTAATAATACTGAGGAGACAATGATATAATAAGAAATAAATATCAGACAACATCACATACATTGATCTGATTCCGAGATGAGTAGCTAAAGCACTTGTGTTACGGATATCAGAATCAACAGTGGTATATACCCAGACACAGAACAAATTTTCATCACATGAATGTTCGTTCTGGGTGGGAATCGAACCCACGACCCTTGGCGCATAAGGCAGGGCCGCTACCAATGCGCCACCGAGCCCATCAATAATGATAATGTAATGGGTATGGAGTAATATATTCCTCATTCCAATCTCATCAGTAAAGGCGCACGTAACCTCTGGTTCAATCACGACTGTGCAGAAGCTGCTTCGCGTAAGCAAGCGACATATCGTGCTTGGATCAGAGGCCGCGCTCTTAAGGATCCCGGGGTCGATTCACTAGAAGCAGCCTACTATATTGCTTCCAAGGCTACAGGCCTTACATCAGAGCGAATGCCCAGTGCGTTGCACGTGTTGGTCACGAACTTACGAACGAACGCATCTTACGGGATCCTGTAGCTATTGGCGTTTGGCCAAGGCCGTGCAAAAGAACTTCTGCCAGCCCTCGCTACCCTGAGATGCCCAGACGGAACACTAGCTCATAAGCCGCAGGAGAAAGCCGATTTACTGGCAAAACTCTTTGCGGCTAACTCCCGAATCGATGATTGCAATGCACTGCCCTCATCATTACCTCATTGTGGCACAACGATGCCTGATATTAAAATCAGGCAGCGTGAGGTTCGTGCCGAATTGCAATCACTCCACGTCCGGAAAGCTAGTGGACCTGATGGCATCCCAGCAGTAGTACTGAAAAATGTGCAGCGGAGTTGTCCCGTACTCACGCGCTTGTACCAATGCTCGTATTCTTTGGGGCGTGTGCCGGAGACTTGGAGAGATGCTAACGTG